TGGCATGGCATGGCAGCTCCGGGAGGGTGCTACAGCTGAAAGCTTTTTTTGAACACTGATGCTATGCTGTTGATGATGATCGTGACTTTCTCGGATGGGATGGGGGCTTAAATTGATCGTGTCAAGAAGGTCATATTTCCGAAACTAATCCCACACTGACTGGAATGACATGGGAATACTACTGTAATAGAGTTCGGTGCAACGTTACTGTGATTTCTTGTGTTATTAAACACCAATTCAAGAACTGGACTGAGGATTTGAATGATGGGAATGGACAGATAAACGTGAAATGTAGAGATAATTGAGGTAGGAGTGGTTAACGTATTTGAATGTGCCTATGAGATGTAGAACCAGAGTCATCAAAGTGTTCATTGACGGTCTTAGTTTATCAATAGGGTGGTAGTTTAAGCCATGAACCTAAATTAGTTGGGACAGTGGGTTCATTTTGACAGCTAAAGTTTAGGCTAACTCAAATGATCCAATCGACAACGAGTGATGCAGTTGAAGGAGTTTTTATTGACCGTTTTAATTAGTTTGTAAAGACAAACACCATACTGTCCCCGTTTACGACTACGCTGCTTGCCTAAAAGGCGAACGTCACAGAGAAAGAAGTTTTCGCCCTTTTCGAGGGCTTGTTCAATCTGACTAGTGCCCGACGGGGGAACGCTTGGTTGTCTCAGTGAGGAGGGTCGTTAGATTGAGTGAGACTAATTGGACATCAGAGACGCCGCATTCATAGATAAATATCTTCAGCCAAGACAACGCTGATACAATTGATGTCAACACTAGTTCAGTAATTTCACTTTAGAGCCAAATCCCCGTAAAAGGGAACGTTTTCATTCGGTCCCTCTTCCGTGTGAATGTTATTCAGCTTGACAGCAGAGTGCTGCTAAGCCAGTCATCATTTTTCATTGATCTGTCCACATATCAGTTGCTTGCACATCGTTTTAAATTTGGTCTAAACCGTATCGTTGGTTGGTTAGATCACCAGGGTGACACTGTTTCGACTGTCATCATGAGCTACATAAAAGACCTGAATTATTCTTTGTACTTCCTTAAACGATTCAAACTGGTCGGTACATCGTTGATTACTTTCTCACTCTTGCAGGTATGACAAGGTCAAGGACGACGCACAAGAGTCTGAGTACTATGAAACCATTTACGCTCTACTGTCCGCCCGAAGTACACTCTTTCGTGA